TGATTTTAGCGATAAGTTATATATTTGGCATTTGATATTTGAGGTATCTAAAGACCTACAGATGTAGGGACCTCAATAGCTTATTAAACTTAAATATGTTGATCAGCCCTAGAACTTCATTTGCTGTCCACTATTTGACTTCAACCTTTTTATAAAAAAAACAACAAATCCATTTTAACCCTCCAAGAAATCACCACAGGAATCTTTATATTTTCTTTATTTTAAAGCACAGGCGCTTTAAAATAAACTCAGCCACTTCATCATTCTGGACCCCACCAGTTTCAACATCCCAACTCCCCCAGGTCTTTCCAGTACATGGCATCAAAAATGTTGCAAAAGGGTTGAAGGTTCAAATGCATGAATTCAAATGAAAACCAAATACTTCTGTACAAGTAAGAGCAGATTCAGATGTCAAAGGGGAAAGATGAAAATCAATGACAGCAAAAATGCTCCTCCCTCTGGAGGAGAGAAACAGAGAGAACTTGGACCCCAGGAAGTGATATACAATATTAGTTCTATTGAATATTTGCACTGATTTTTTTACCATGCAACCCAATGCGTGCCTACACAGAAGCGAGTCCCATCTTGTTGAATGGGTTTTACTCATTGTATCGGTTGATATAGGTTTACAACCAAACACAAATCTACCAGGTCATTTTTCTCTTGATCAAAAGCTGCAGTGCAACAGCTGCCTATGAGCACACACAAACTTTTATTTACTTTGGGAGGCCCTTTTGTCATCCAGAGATTACCATCAATCTTCTTGCTTTTGTGTTTGTTCAAGGCCAAGTTCTATATTGGCAAACTTTCCATCAAGATCTACTGTGGTTTCATGAAAACCGACTTTCAAGTGAATTTCATGGTATGGAAGTTTTTCCTCTTAGTCCACGAAGAAATTTCCTGTTTTAAAGCCTGCATGGAACTCCCAAATCCACAACTGGGTCATACCTTTAATGCCACAAAATAGTTCTGGAGAACACAAATTTTGTTACCTTTTGATTGGACCTAATAAATGTTTGGACTAACTTTGAAGTGTTTTGTTATGACTACCTTTGCTTTTTATGTACGAGATTATGTTCAGCAGCAATTCTGAAAGAAGTAGAATTGCAGTCTTCATACTCCTTACTTAACATGTAGTTTCACCAAATGGTCTGCCATGAAATTATAGTGTTTAGTATATTCAAGTACAGTTTATTCAGACAATAATTACAAACTGAATTTACTTTATACAATTTTTAAATCTTTTGTTACAAATGGAGATACATGCTGCTGAACTGGGAGGAAGGATAGATGTCGTTTGGCAGGTGTATGGCCAAGGTACCTAGAGAGCCTTTGCAATATAGGGATAAACTGCACCCCCTCCTAGAAAAAGCCCACACAACACAAAAATGGTGGCTGCTACCATTAGGACTGTAGGGCAGAAGGCAAGGAGACAAGCAATAGATGGAGGCAGGGTCAGTGACAGGCAAACCTTACTGGTTGCAAGTAAGATGGCAGGCAGGTGAAGGCTTGCTTGAAGGCAGACTGAGATGGGTGAGGGACAGTGCCCCCATTTGCCCTAATGGACCAGCTTCCACTGCCCAACACACCTGCCAGCTTTTCCTGCTCCATAGCCAGAATGGCAGGCAGGCATGCTTCTATGCTGTGGCTGGAAGACGTACATCCAAGCACCAGTGCTCCATCCCGTCACTCAACCTGATGCTTTTGCAGGGCTGTGTTGACGGTCACTGATGGAAGGTGCTAGCAGCACCCAAGGCAATGTGGTCCCCAAGGCAGAGAGCCTGGCCAGGGGAGGAGGTATTTGAGAATGCTGAGGACTAACAAGTTTCGGCAAAGCATCCTGCAATGAGGTGTCACCTACTCACAGAAACAGGCTGAAAAGAAAAAGCCACAAATTTGTAAACCCCCCAAACCGCAACAGCTTCCTCGTTCAACAAAATCCTGAAACAAATCCTAACAGGATCCACCTTAAAAAAAATAAGCTCCATGGATTCCAGTGGGAAAGGGTTAAGAATGTGCTTGGCATTCCTACTGGTTTCCCTAGGACTTGAAATGTGCTTGCATTTACTTGGGTCCTTCCCAGACACTGTGGGAAACTGCTGGCAGGATTGCAGTTACCCAATGTCCATCGGGAGATCTAAATGATGCAATATTAATTAGTACTGAATCGTCTTGCAAACCCAGGACTCGATCAGTTCTTGTTTGTTACCATATTCTTCATTTCTTTGTTACTATGATGAACTCATTTTTTTTTATTCGTTGGCTGCCTTGTGCGCTCTGATTTTTAGCACAATCCCAAGTAAATTTATTATAATGATCTTTTAAAACGTTGGAAAACACATAAGTAAGTCTGCTATCCTGAGCCTGCTCTTACTGAGTAAGTACCACTGAAGTTAATGGGACTTTGCAATCTGATATCCAAAATAGTTTGTTTTTTTCCTGGCAGGGCTGGGCAGAGGCACCAAAGGGGGTTTGGACTACAGACTTTGTTTTGAGCTTTCTTGAAAAAAGAAGTTCCCACTTGCACATGGATGCCTAAAACTGACTTCCAACTTTTCTCCAGGCTACAAAACACGGGGCATTTATTGACCATGCAATCTAAGATTATATATCAGTGAAGGAGGGGAGGGATCTGCCTAATTTGTTCTGTTTTGCTCTAGAAAACCAAAGCAGAACAAAAGTGTGACTAACATGATCTAGATTACTTGAAGTTTAGAAATTGCATCACCTTTTTCTTTGTACAATGTAGGAAATACTTTCTGCTAGTTTTCCTTCCTTTTACTTAAATGACAGAAAGCGTTTCCTACATTGTACAATGAACCAAGGAACACTGATGCAAGATAAAGGTCAAAGGGTGAAAGGGAGTACTTTTTCTAGTTCTTTTTTGAACTCTTCAGCCTTCCCCACGTTTTCCTGGCATCAATTACGTCAGTGCTACTAAGGCAACTCTCATCTAGACTGCATTTAGGGAGGAAGGGAGATTTCAAACACAGCAACAAGGCTGACCACATCAGCCTGATTCTATGAACACAAGCTATCATGATGCTGATTTTGCTGTAGGGCTGTTGCAACTACAAAATCTGCAATATTCACCAACTAGAAAAACCCTACAACTGTGGTAATAGTAATAGTAATTTATAATTTGTACCCCGCCCATCTGGCTGGATTTCCCCAGCCACCCTTGGAGGCTTCCAACAAAGATTGAAAATACATTAAAATGTCACACATTAAAAACTTCCCTGAACAGGGCTGCCTTCAGAGGTCTTCTAAATGTCAGGTAGTTGTTTATCTCTTTGACATCTGCTGTACCACAGGGCGGGCGCCACTACCGAGAAGGCCCTCTGCCTGGTTCCCTGTAGCTTAGCTTCTCGCAGTGAGGGAACCACTAGAAGGCCCTTGGCGCTGGACCTCAGTGTCTGGGCAGAAATCAGCAAGTAGGTGACTTAGATCCTAAGGTTAGTTAACTTTGCAAGTCCATAGCAGACAAGTTTCCTACTTTCCCAACTTCCCTGTGCCCTCGTGAACCGCTCAAAGTATAGGAGAACCCTCCTGCACAAGACAGGGCTAATAAGCAGAGAATGTGCACTGATGTAGTGGTATAGAAAAATTATGAATACTGTCCAAATTGGAAGGCATCTCACAACCTCTTGTGACTTGTCAAGATTTCCACCCCGACTTCTTCATGTTCAGCGCAATGTCTGAAAGATATTTGTTCCTATCTGCATACAGGTGTCAAAGCTTCTCCGAAAAGCCCCCATGCAGGTTAGGAGTGGGATTGGTGTGCACCACATGTGTCGCCACCCCCCACCATTGGGGTGAACAGGTCAAGGGCAGAGCAGGATCGTACTCACTGCCCACCCCCTCCTGATCTTGGCAATTTCAACAGAAGTTCTGAAAGCGGTTTCAATGCATTTGAAGGCGTAGAGCAGGGATGAGGAACCTGTAGCACTCCAGCTGTTGATGGACTGCAACTCCCATTAGCCCCAACCAGCATGACCAATGGTGAGGGATAACACAAAGGTGGTGCTTAGACTCCAGACTTAGGTTCAAATCCACACAGCCACGAAGCTCCCTGGGTTACCTTGGGCCAATCACTGCTTCTCAGCCTAACCTACCTTGCAAAGTTGTTTTCTTTCTTTCTTTTAGCCAGAACTCAGTTCCGGCACCTCTCAGGTGGGCGCCATTGCCATTTTAAGAGAGCAAAGGAGGCGTTCATACTGAGTACCGACACCTCTTTTTCTAGAAAAATAGCACTGGTTGTTGTGATGATAAAATGGAGGGTGAACCATTTACATTTTGAACCACTGGCAGGGCCATGAGATCTTTGGAAGAAAGGTGAAGGAATCAATACAGCTGCAGTTCAGAGGGTCCCAGGTCCCAGGTGGAGACTTGCAAAGGCAGCCAAAATGAAAGATGGCAGCGGGAAGGGGAGTGTTACGTAGAATCACAGCATTGTAGTGTTGGAAGGGATCTCGCGAGTCATCTAGTAGTCCAACTCCTTGTCCAATATGAGGCTCGAACCCTCGACCCTGAAATTAAGATCCTCATAGCGGTGCTATCAGGGCAGAACGCGCCGCGCACGGTCAAAAACAGCACTACCTAGCCGCACAGGAACAAACATCTTTACCGGGGGAAGGGAAGAAATACACATCCTGTCGAACGAGAGGAGCATTTGAAGCAGGAAGAAACAAGGACGACAGAAAGAGGACCATTAAGACCAGAGCTCCAAAACGACCTCCGCCAAGAACACGGAGAGCAAGCCCCTCGGAAACGAAAGCGAAACCACAGTGGGAGCTACCCAGCTCTCGTCTCCCCGCAGTTTCCCCCTAGAACAATTCCCCAGGTTTAGCCGCAGCCGCACACCTGTGGGGCTGGCCGCCCACGAGTCAACAGCACCCGAGGATGGGTCTTTTCTTAAGCGGCCGTAATTCTCTCTGCCTCCCCTGCGCTCCTGTCTTTATTCAGCCCCGCGTCTCTAACGCAGGAAGCGCCTGACTTACCTGGATTAGCAGCCTCGCGTGCCGGACGCGTCCCTTCGCAGCTGATCGCCTCGCGCTGTTGCCTAACAAATCGTCGCCCAGCCGCTCTAGACTGGCAGGGCGGACCTGGGGGTGGGGATAAAAGCGAGAGCGGGGCTCCGGGAAGGGGCGGGGGTCGGCCGGGAGCGGCGACGTCAACAGCAGCGAAAGCAAAGCGAGCAGCCCCTGGCGAGGAGGAAGTGGAACCGCAAGCCCTGCCGACGCCCACAAGTGGGGGAAATTGTACCTGGGAGCGCCTCTGCTCAGAACACCTTCACTTGCCCGCCCGCCTCCGGGGGCTAAGCGGGGTTCAAATGTAAAGGAACTGAAAATTAGGTTGTACCTTGCAATGGCTATGGAGAGGGAGCCACGTGCCATGAGGTCTGGGGGCTTGGCTTTTATTTTCCATACCAAATATGCGCCTTCGGAATGGGGATTTCCCCCAGCCGCAAGGTCTGCAAATAAAGAGTGATTTGTATACCTAGTTTGCTCCTACCTTTTTGAGGGGTGGGGTATTTTTATGTGATCTTCAGATGAAGAGCAGTAATGTGTAAGTGAAAAGTGAAGTGAACAGAACAAGAGAGGACCATAGGGAGAGAGAAAGCAAAAACAAAACCGTTGGCTAGATGGATGGCTGTTGTTCCTATTGTTCTAAAAGAAATTATTTTTCAACAGAAAAGCTGCTGTAAAATCATTTCCAGAATAATACTTGTACAGTTACAACACCAGTACAAAGACATAGTGAAACTCAGACATCCACAAACAAATACTGTGGCATCCAACCTTAATATATACTCAGTAAAGGTAAAGGGACCCCTGACCATTAGGTCCAGTCGTGAGCGACTCTGGGGTTGCGGCGCTCATCTCGCTTTATTGGCCAAGGGAGCTAGCGTACAGCTTCCATGTCATGTGGCCAGCATGACTAAGCTGCTTCTGGCGAACTAGAGCAGCACACAGAAACGCCGTTTACCTTCCCACCAGAGTGGTACCTATTTATCTACTTGCACTTTTGATGTGCTTTTGAACTGCTAGGTTGGCAGGAGCAGGGACCGAGCAACGGGTGTTCACCCCGCTGCGGGGATTCGAACCGCCAACCTTCTGATTGGCAAGCCCTAGACTCTGTGGTTTAACCCACAGCGCCACCCGTGTCCCTATATACTCAGTACAGATGTTAATTTAAACAGGGTTGGATCATCCATTACAATAAACTGTTTTCAAAAATGTATACTTTCCTGATATTGTTTGTATGATGTAGTAGTATAGCTTTTAATTGGGTGTGCCAATTGCCAAAATAAGTGCAGTTCAGATATTGAGTGCTTAAGCAGGCTGTACTGTATATATGATGATGACATAACAACAGTAGTTGTATAATGCATCTATTATATTGAGTTGCGGGTACCTTACTGCCAGCTTTTATTACTTTGGCCAATGTGTTCCTTTTTGTTCTCATATGAACAAAATGTTCATTTTCTGTAGGAAGCTGCCAGCATAATTTACAATTGGGTAACTTACAGTATGTGTGGGGCTACCAGCATCTGGCAGGGTGAAAACAAGCCTACAATAGGGGTTGTTTGTTTGCTTTATTTGTCACATTTACATTCCACTTTTTCCTCCAAGGAGCTCAACAAGGTACGCATGGTTCTCTTCCTCATTTGTTCCCAAAGTATTGTATCCCAAGGACTGTAATCAGTGAGTTTCTGTACAGCTCAGGGAAGCTAACCTGAGGTTGCCATTTTTAGTGGCACTCCCAAATTCTTTGTAATGTGTGTCAGCTTGTGTTTCATATATGTATACAATGTAGGATCAAATATACTCCTTGGAAGAACATTTTGCTTTGTTATTTTGTTAAATAATTTTTCTCATGTTTAACTCTGTTTCTTTCTCTCCCCCTCCCCATTTTTGTGTTATGCATCCAATACAAGCAATAATCTGAAAAGGAAGATTGGGAAAGAATGTAGCAATCTAAGTGGGCAGCCAAGATACAGAAATGACGTAAAAAGTCTGTACTATTGTGGGCTCAATTTTTATCCAGAGTGCTCAATATGTGGCTGGTGGTCTTCAGCTCTAACTGTTAAGTTCCATCAGTACACAGCTTATTTCCTTATACCTGTGTAATCTCTTGAAACCTGAATATTCATTCTTGCCCGTACAGGTGTGGGTTATAGGATACATTTATTAAATAGTTAGTTACAGATTCCTGGAAGGACTCTTCACACAGACCTGCAGCAGGGTTTCTACTCATTTGTGGGAAGAAAGGAAGGCAGGGAATCTAAAGACAAGGTGTCCAGTTATGTACTGACAAAGACAGGCATAGGTAAACCCAGCCCTCCAGATGTTTTGGGACTACAACTCCCACCCTCCCTGACCACTGGTCCTGTTAGCTAGGGATGATGGGAGTTGTAGTCCCAAAACATCTGGAGGGCTGATTTTGCCTATGCCTGGACAAAGAGAAGAAATACATCACACAAAAATAGGGCAAAGATGACACCATTTTGCATAAAAATTACACATGCTACTTTAAATGTATATCTAATATATTGCATATTGGATTGATAGTATTGCCAGCAGTCATATATTGACAATAATGGCATGGGTGTCAGCACAAAGTGGCTGCCATGGGTGGCAAAAGAAGAGGTGTCAGTGCTCCATATCAGCAAGTACTGCAATAACCCCCTCTCTCCCCTCTCATTCTCTCTCTCTTTCTCCCCACAGCAAGGAAGGACCATAACCAGGTGACTTTGTGGGGCTGCTCAGAGCAATAGTCAACTAAAGGAGTTGTGCTAGCTCAGCAAATTTAAGTTGTGCAGTTTGACTTTCCCACCTTCTCCTCTCCCCAATCTGCTCTGGAGGGTTGGGGGAACAGATGGAGCAGATTTCAGGGACAGGTGGGGAGAGGAGACAAGCAGCTAAAGCGTTGCACTAGCGTAACTTTAGTTGAATGCTGCCCTCAGTTTGTTGCCCCAATGCAAACTGCTGGTGGGCATCTTCAGGTCCCCCGAATTCCCTTCTTAGGGTGCTACATCCTTAATGTGGACTGGGACCAAGGCAGTCCTTCAAACAGAGGACTCTCCTCTGTAAAATAGGACATACGGTCATCCTATCTCAAGGCTCAGCTGCTCTCGAGAGGGACAATACACACCTCATTCACTGTTCCAGAACACAACAAAACACTGAACACCATGTAAAGAGGGGCCTTAACTGCCAAGCTTAGCAGTAAGAAGGATGCTGAACGGAATGAAATGAAAATGAAAAGGCACAGATGTGCAGTCTTTTGAACCTTCATTCAGCAAGGCATTCACTGAATGGATACATGAATGCAGGTGCCTGTTTTCAGACTTTTGGATTTTGGAGTTGCATCAGTGGGGCACAGGAACATCAGGGACAGGGCAGTCCTGTTTCTGTCTCTACACATTTGCTCTTCATGGAGGGGAATATTGGAATGAGATTTTGTCTTTGTTCTGCTATCTGCTCAGGGAGGGAAGATGTGTACATCATTTGAATTCCTCAGTGAGTATGTAAAAAGGTCAGAGGCTATCCAGGTTCTTTCTAGTAACTAATGTCTGGAAAATTTGGCTGATGTGAGGTAACCTTGAAGTAAAATGTTTTCAGCTAGCAGGCACTGCACACTGATGTTGTCAACTGACCAGAAATGCAACAAAACCAGCCGGCCCTCCTCCCCCTCTGGCTTTAATAATTTGCTATGCAAAACAAATAAACCAAAGCAGTAAGGAGAGGCTTTGCATGCATGGAAATAGGAAGCATCATTTTCTACATAAAAAGTATTATGATTTGCTGTTTAAAAGCACAGGAAGAGGAGCATTAAAAACAACAAAAAAGAGTGATCGGCAATAGAGATCTACATACCAATACAGATTTGAGGCTATGCCCATGTTTACATAAGGGATGCGGGTGGCACTGTGGTCTAAACCACTGAGCCTAGGGCTTGCCGATCAGAAGGTCGGCAGTTCAAATCCCCATGACAGGGTGAGCTCCTGTGGTTCGGTCCCTGCTTCTGCCAACCTAGCAGTTTGAAAGCAAGTGCAAGTAGATAAATAGGTACTGCTCCAGTGGGAAGGTAAACAGTGTTTCCGTGCACTGCTCTGGTTCACCACAAGAGGCTTAGTCATGCTGGCCACATGACCTGGAAAAACTGTCTGTGGACAAATGTCGGCTCCCTCGGCCAGTAAAGCAAGATGAGTGCCGCAACTCCAAAGTCGTTCGTGACTGGACTTAATGGTCAGGGATCCTTTACCTTTACCATGTTTACATAGCGAAAACCACACCACCTATACATGAGAGAGGGAGATCAGCTGACCCAGGTACACAAAATCTGAAGGGGGAAAATAAATGCAGGAAGTGCCCCACTTCAGGAATTTGGATGGCGGACAGAATAGAGATGATGGGCACAGCTGGCTCACCCCTCCACACACCCATGCTATGTTCACACAAATATTGAATGCCTGAAGAGTACTGGAGAAGAGAAAGAATACAGACAGCTCAGTAGGAAAGAGGAATTGAACATATTTGTTGTAGCAGAGCAACAGGTAAATGCTTATAAAGGTGGAGAAATAGGCATCTCATTGCCTCCATAGGTCACTTCCTGGTTTCACAACATGAGTGTTCACACGTAGCATTTAACAGTCTGTGCATCCATATACCTGTATATTCATACAGTTATTCACATGTAAAGGTCAACAAGTGCATATCTGGCAAGTGTCCCTTATTTGGCGGGACAGTCCCTTATCCCAGCGCCATGTCCCACTGCTATCCCTTATTGATGATGTCCCTTAAATTTCCCGGGTTTCAAAGGAAGCAGCTCCTCTCCCTCCCTCCCTGCCGGCCAGGGAGGAGGGAGGCTCCAACTGTGTTGCTTGGCTGTGTTGCTCATCCAATAAGGAGTCTAAGAACGACTGGGGGGTGGAGCTTGCATGCCTTGTGCCAATCAAATTGACCACGTTGCCTGGGGACTCACCTTTGCTCAGCGCTTCCCAGCGGAGAGGTGACGTGGTTTTCCTTGCTGCATCCCCTTTGCCGGGTTGCTGTGCTATGGGAACCACCACTTGAGGCTTCATTTGGCTGCTGGTTGACTAAAATCCCTTATTTTGGCTGCTGATCCCTTATTTCAAGGCTGTTGGTCCCTTATTTTCAAATCTGTAAGTTGACAGCTATGCAAGTGTGCATCTGTGCACAATAGTTGTACAGATGAACATGTGCCACATTCTTTTGCACCAACACTTGTAGTTGTGTAGAGATAGCTTG